GGCAGGAGGCTCCCCTCTGCGGGGTTGGGAAGGATGGGGGCCTTTCCCTTCCTTGGCTGATGGACTAGCGGCCATCTTTTCCGAGAAACCAGGGGCTCGATGCAAACGTGGTGAACGTTGTGGCAAGTCTCGTCGCTCCAAAATATTGAAGTTGTTGTTGGGATGCGGCCTGTATCTGGGGTCTACCTGGAACTTCCCGTTTAGAAACGCCTACTCTTTTTGTTGTAAAAGCCACGTGTTGTTTCCACTTTCTCACAGAATTTATTTCTCTTTCTTGGATAGAAGGAATTCCTCTGGATTATAATCCAGATACCTTTCTTCATTCTCAAAAGGAACGCTGTGCTGGTCCCCTAGGAACATAGAGAAGATGTACATCAAGTCAATTTCTCTTGAAGGATTTAAATCCTATGGTCAGAAGACGGAAGTTAATGGCTTTGACCCATTTTTCAATGCCATTACTGGTTTGAACGGTAGTGGCAAATCCAATATCCTGGACTCGATCTGTTTCCTGTTGGGAATCACCAATCTGTCACAGGTAAAGAGAATTTAAGAATTTAATTAGGCATTTAAGAAAGGTTTTTCTTCTGTCACCAACATTTCATACTGTTCTCTTAATTGCTGGTGGAGAACCTCAAGTGGTGCTTAAGTTTAAAAAGAATAGTTTTAATTATTTGGATTTTTCCTTACATAAAAATGTGTTTCTGTCATTCTTGCTCATTCTTGCATTAAGATTGAATTACAATTGCATCAAAATGTTACAGTAGCTCAAAGTATGCAGCTTAGAAGATTAGACTCAAAATAGCTGCTTAAAAGGAGCCTCAGGCTGAAGATGTTTTGCAGCTAAAGACATTAAATTGTTTATTTGTAGTAAACTTCTTCGCCCCTGAATTGGGTATTAAAATTTGTTCAACTAGTAGATGAGAAAAAAATAAAAAGCTGTTTTTCATGCAATGCCTGCTATTTTAAAAATAATATATCTGCTTTACTCTTACAAGAAAACCTGTGTAAGGTCAACTTGAATCTCTGTCTTTAGGTAATTTTAAATTTTTTTTATCCCTCTCCTCTCCCAGTAATTGTGGGCAAATCCAGCAGACCTCCAAGAAATACTTTCTGATTCATTTCCCTGTGGACTGCATTATGTGTAGTAAATGTTCTTTAAGTAAATGTACTGGTAACTGAACAAGTCATCTGGCATTTTGTTAATTTTTTTTTTTTTAAGATGTTTTTTGGCAGGAATCTTATGCAGAAACAATTAGCTGGCTCACTAAAACTAGACTTGCACACTCTGCCTGTGGTTTTACAGGGCTAGCACCTTGCCCCTTCCATATGTCAGTCTGTCACATGAACTCTTAAATCTACAGCTGGGTCTGCAATTTTTCCAATAACTTCTCCAAAACTTACAGTAGCACACTGAAGCTGTGTAATGAATTTCTTTCAAAAAATGTGCTTGTCTGTTCTATGGGTATAGGTGCGAGCTTCCAATATGCAAGACCTAGTTTATAAAAATGGGCAAGCTGGAATTACTAAAGCAACTGTGTCAGTGACCTTTGACAATACTAACAAGAAGCAAAGTCCACTGGGATTTGAAGGTAATGATGAGATCATCATCACCAGACAGGTGAGTCTTTAATATCTGTGTTGCTCAGTAACCTATATACATTTTTACCATGCTCAACAGAGCGACTTTTCAGCGGGGGGAAAAAAGAAGTAATTTTTGAAGTCCCAGAGTTTTTGCAACTGAGGCAGTGTTTCTACAGTGTGGTTAGTAACACAAGGTGTAGAAGTAGGTCCAGTGGACTAGGTGAAGAGAAAATTACTTGGGAAATTAGTTTATATTGTTAAATATATTATATCAATAATATTTTCTGTGGACTTACACAGAAACACAACAGTAAGGAAATAATGTTCCTAAAGCAAGTTATAATTTTGTATTTTGGGCCACCTTCTTACTTCATATTTTCCTCTTAACATGTGAACTGTGTGTTGTATTTGGTCTCCAAGAACCAAGGAACCTTTATCTTTCTGGTAAAGATGTCTCCCAATTAAAAAAAGTGAAAACTTGTGGAGTTTGGAAATTTTCTTGTCAACATTGCCCTCAATGACTGATACTATTTTTCTTTTGCTTAGATTTTTTTAAAATGTCTCTTCAGTCCAAGCAGATCTGTTTTGATGTTCTGTACTGCATACATGTGTATGTGCATGCAAAATATAATATAAGAGATTTTTGTTCTTTATTACAGTTTATATTCTCATGGTGTCAAGTAATTTTTAAATGACTTAGTTTCTTCCATTTCTTTTCCTTTTCCAGGTTTTAATTGGAGGTAGAAATAAGTATCTTCTCAATGGTGTGAATGCTACCAACAGTCGCGTGTGCGATCTGTTCTGTTCTGTTGGACTGAATGTCAATAACCCTCACTTCCTCATTATGCAGGTATTGTGTACATCTTCATAAAGTCCAAAAAGAATAGACGTTGCACTAAATTTGGGGTAGGATAGATAGTAGAAGCTATCTTTCCTAATCAGGAAAAGCAACTCTTTACCCAGTAAAAATCAAATGTGTGTTAAGTAGTTAAGATCCCCAGTGCAGCCTAGTTTGACCATAAAAAACACGTCTCTTGGCGCCAGACCTCATGTCGCCCTCGTGTAGCAAGCTTTTCCTAAAACATATTCCAAATTTATTTTCCCTTTTGTCTCTTTAACAGGTTGGTGTTGCATTTATTATGCTAAAAAGACAGATTTTCCTTTCCTATTATGTATTCCATGTTAGATAATATTTTTGAATGAAGTTGATATCCCTCCTTTTTTAAGTCACAGTTAACAAAGGAGGAGCTGACCAACTGTAAAGACCCTTGTAAACATCGACACAGTGACTAGACAATTCCCTGAAGTATTTGGAAGGAGTAAGAAAACAGAGAGGATTTACTGTTTCAAATGGAACTGTCCCAACTTGGAAGGGAAGGGAGGAAGGCCAGTTTTGTACCTACTTTGCTTCCCCCTAGTTACATAAGAGCTGAATCTCCCAGAAACCGGTTTATGATTAAGAGTATATCCAACACTGGGAACTCAGGAAGGCTCTAGGTCAAAAAGAGCACATTCCGTATTATATCTTCAAGGAGTAACATGGAGGACAAGACTAAGAAAAGAGAACAGGGGCCACTTCAAGCTTGCTGCCTAAAGAAGTGACTTGTTTGAACTTTCAAGAACAAAACAATTGAGTAAACTAAATTATTCTTGTAGGGGGAAAAAAAATCATGTTTGATCTTATAAGGTATAGAATCAAGTGGGGTTTTTTCGGTTTGGAGCTCTGTTTTCTTTTGTGATTTTTACTACTGCGTGGTACGTACCTACCATTCTTGTTTTATCTTTCTGCCACCAGGGACGGATTACCAAAGTTCTAAATATGAAGCCACCAGAGGTAAGAAAGTTGTGAGCGTTTTTTGCCTGAAGCTTTACTAATGTCTTTTTTTTTTTTTTTTTTTAATTAATGACAAGAATCAATACTGGGAGGAAATCAATTGGAGGAAAAGACAAGGAAACTCATGGGTTGAGATAAGAGCAATTTAAAAATTGAAAATAAACTAAATAATGATGCTAGTAATACTAATAATACTGATATTCCTGAAGAAGTCCTTCACTTGATATAAATACTCCCTAGCAACAAGTGAAAACAGTGTGTTATCAGTATTATTCTCAGCACAACCAAAACATGGGCTTGTACTACTTGTACTCGCTGCTTTGAGCAAGATTAACTCTATCCCAACTATAATCAGCATACTGACTTCAGAGGAAATATTAACTTTTTGTTGCATTGCTTTATTTTAGATTTTAAGTATGATTGAAGAAGCAGCTGGTACTAGGATGTATGAATGCAAGAAATCGGCTGTCCAGAAGACCATAGAGAAGAAGGAAAAGAAACTGGCAGACATTGAAACGGTACTACATGTTGGAAAGGATACTTGCTTTTAGATTGGTTAAGAATAACTCAATAACTAGTGTAGTGTGGTTTTTATCTTGTAGAGTATTTAATTTCTGCACCTGCAACTACGTATTCATGCTTAGACATACATGAGTCTTAAAAATCTGAGTATAAATGTTCTGGTTTATGTTTCAGATCTTAAATGAGGAGATCACTCCAACTTTGCAGAAGCTGAAAGAGGTATGGAAAAATTAGAAGTGGGAAGGCCCTTAAAGTGCTGGAAAAATACTTTCAGCCACCCCAAACTAGTATGTGGTGGCTAAAACAAGAGCATGTTTTGAAGCTCTGTGGTATCTTTTAAGAGAGAGAAATCTTACCTTCTGTCCAAATACAGAAGATGTAACATTCAGTACTTCCAGGAAATCCTAGAAGGGAATGTAGGGAGAAGGAATAAAACAAGATGTTTTATTTGCCCAGAGATGTTGTGGATGCCCCATCCCTGGAAGTGTTCAAGGCCAGACTGGACGAGGCTTTGAGCAACCTGGTCTAGTGGAAGGTGTCCCTGCCTGTGGCAGGGGGGGTGGAACTAGATGATCTTTAAGGTCCCTTCCACCCCTAGCCATTCTATGATTCTATGATTCTAAGAACTACTTAATGCAAAAATCTGATGGCAATTTTTTTTTTTTTTTTTAAATTGGTGTCTTTTCAGGAACGATCATCTTACCTAGAATACCAAAAACTAACACGATCAATAGATCATTTAAACCGCCTCTGTGTAGCTTATAATTTTTCTCTGGCTGAAGAGACAAAATTATCCTCTGCTGAAGCAATGAAGGAATCACAGGCTAATGTGGAGAAGCTTCAGGAATCCATAGCTGAAAGTGAAAAGGTGGTGAGCCAACTTAAGAAAGAAATAGTGGAGATGGAAAAGAAAAAAGATAAGGTGAGTAAGAACATCAGTCGTGTTCGTCTGAATATCTGAATGCGAGGTGTTATATGAGAAGGTAGTGATTTTTGCAGGTAATATACCCTTGATTATGATGATCTTCTGGTGGGTTGTTCAGATTATACACTGCTCATTGTCATTCTTAGCCATTGTCTAAAAAGCATCCATTTAAAAGTTTTCTTTTGTTTGAAGTGCTTTACTTCTAATCATGCTAAGTAAGTAATAACTGAAGACTAGAAACTGTCCTCACGTTTCTACTCTGTGGATTGAATGGTAACTTTTGCCAGAGAATTTTTTTCTTCTCCCTTTTTGTTGGTGTCTCAAAATAAATACACCTCAAGTAGGAAACTCTCGTTCCACAAAAACCAGTACTGACCTCAGTTTTGAGAGCAGTAAATCTGGTCACGTACAGGATGGCCGTAGGGTCTTTGGATGCCTAAATGCAACTTTTACAGGAACAGTGTCTCATGATGTGGGATGATGTGAGCCTTCAGTTGTGGCTTCAGGTTAGTTAGTTCAGGGGGAAGAGGTGTTCTGACCTGTTTGCTCTGGAGTCGAACCACCTGCTCGATCAGTTTCTCGCTTCTACATACAGCTGTGAACAGAAGATGAAGTAGTACAAATACCGTGTCAGTTTCTTAGACTGAATTAAACTTCCTTTATTTCTGATTGTAGGAAGCTGGTGGTGTGCTCCTTTCACTGGAAGATGAGCTTTCAGAAATGCAAAGAGTTAATACTAGAGCACAAAGTGCCCTTGATCTCAAGAAACAAAACCTAGAAAGTGAAAAGAATAAGCACAAAGAACTGATGAAAAGTATGCAGGAGGTAAGAACTTTGTATATTATTTTCTTTAAACACTACATTAATTCACACTGAGGGGTGCAACTGTTTCTTCCTACCTATTATGGTAAGAAAAATCTTGTGATTGGCAAGAATCACCTCAGGGAAAAGGAAACAAATGGCAAGGGCATTGTTGGATTTGTGCAGCGTAGGTAATAGGTTCCCATTAGAAACAAATGTGAAGCATCTACGAAGAAGGTACTTTTCTGTATGGTTGCCAACATTCTGTTAAGCTCAGGAGAACTTCAGAAGTATTATGCTCTCTGGACATGTGGTATTTGTAAAGTTAAAGGAGAAATTTCTATGTTGTGTGTTTCTGATGGTTGATCCTCTTTTTTTATGCAAGCAGAATGCTGAAGAATAGTTTTTAGATATTGGGAAGAAAGCTATTTTTCTTTGTTCTTGAACAGTTGTGATATCTTCCTACAGATCTGGAGGGCACAGTCATAGAAATGTAGTTGATGAAACTACTCATAGCTCCTCATCCAAACAATATGAATTTTAAGTTAATGGGACTCAGGCTCTCTCTTCCTTTTTTTGTTTTTATTCTTTGTTTTGCTGAAGGATTCTAAAGCATTAGTGTCAAAGGAGAAAGAAGTAAAGAACATGGAGAAAGAGCTAATTGCTTTACAGGAAGCTAGTGAAAAAGATGCAGGTGCTTTGGCTGCAGCACAACAGCATTTTAATGCTGTGTCTGCTGGCTTGTCCAGCAATGACGATGGAGAAGAAGCTACTCTCGCTGGGCAGATGATGACCTGCAAAAATGAAATCAGCAAAGCAGTCACAGAGGCTGAACAGGTAAGAATAAAAGCTTACCCTGTCTCAGACCAGCCTTCCTGCTTCTTTTGAAGATTGTCTGAAAACCAAGTGATGTCTTGAAAGGTTACTGAAAAGATTTGTGGAGTAGCTGCGCAAGATATTTTACAAAGTGGCATATGCGTTAGGGTAACTTTTTGTTAAAACAGGTCATTAAAAAAACCCCAACAATATGCTTACATAGATGTAGACAAATAGGGAAAAGCTTTAACGTTGCTGTGAGGTCGTATAGAAACTGACATTTGAGACATAAAGTAGGACTCACAGTACTCAAATCACTGATGGTATTGAATAGGAGAAATCAAGACTGCTGTCCATGATACACATTCATACTATAGAGATTTACGCAGTGAAATTTAATGGAATCAAAATAAAGATGCTTGAGACTGAATGGGGAGTTCAAAGGAAACTGTTTTCTCCTTAAATAAATTGTTTGCTGGTCACATGACTGAAACAGATGCCACTTCTTTTGTCTTAAGTTTGAAAATACCTGTTGTGGTAGTTCTCACGGTGGTATTTAAATTTTCAAAGTTGAAAGTGCATGATGCTTGTCTTGATTCAAGGAAAAACGGGGAAAATAACAAGGGCAGCTGTACCCACTTTATTTTACCTTGTTTCTTACTGGACTCTATTCATGTGCTGATATGAATTACTGTATCCAAATACATGATTTATCGTTTTATTTCTAAATCACCTCTGCCTGTACTTTCAAAAGCCAAGGCTGCTTTTCAGCACTTCTTCAGTCAGTGGAAACTTTTACAAATTGTATGAGCACCTTGCTAGTGAAGGTGTCCTAAATCTGCACCTGCAAGATTCTCTTTGAAAATCTAGTTCCATATTTTCTTACTCCTTACAGACTCAGATGAAGTTGAACTATGCACAACAGGAATTAAAGACAAAAGAAGATGAAGTTAAAAAGGTGGACAAAAGCTACAAGAAGGACCAAGAAGCACTTGAAGCTGTCAGAAAAACAAAAGGAATGTTAGAAAATGAAATAAGGAAGCTGAACTATGAAGGTCTGTACAGACTTCTGGTGCATAATTGTGGGGAAGGTGAAAAGGAATATGGAAGTGTGGTGGGCTGACCCTGGCTGGAGGACAGTTGCTCACCAAAGCCGCTCTGTCTCTCCCCTCTTCAGCTGCCCAGGGGAGAGAGAACATTAACGAAAGTTTCACGGGTTGAGACAGGGGTAGGGAGATCACTCAGCAATTACTGTCAAGCGCAAAACAGCCTCAACTTAGGGAAATTAATTTAATTTACTACCAGTGAAATCGGAGTACGATAATGAGATATAGGAACAAACGTCAAAACACCTTCCCCCTACCGCTCCCTTCTTCTAGGCTTAGCTTTACTCCTGATTTCTCTACCTCGTCCCCCTGAGTGGCCTGTCCATCACACATTCTTTCTCCTGCTCCTTCCCCCTGAGTCAGGGAGGACTCCAAGCTCTTGACCCTGCTCCAGCATGGGGTGCCTCCCACAGGAGACAGTCCCTCCTGTCAACTTCTCTGATGTGAGTCCTTCCCACGGGCTGCAGTTCTTCACTAAATGCTCCGTCGTGGGTCCCTTCCACAGGGTGAAGTCCTTCAGGAGCAGCCCGCTCCAGTGTGAGCTTCCCACGGAGTCACAGGCTCTTCAGGCACATCACCCTGCTCCAGTGTGGGGTCCTGCCCAGGCTGCAGGGGGGTCTCTGGTCCCCAGGACC